AATGCAGAAACACTCTGGTAGTAGCCGACAGGATCCCACTGCCAGGCAGCTGACAGAGCCCGCTGAGTGCCAGCCCCTGTATGTGCAAAGGTGAGATATATATTGGTGTCCCAAATTATTTGTATTACTTTAAATAAACACTGTCTATTTCTAGTTTTTTTTAAATTGTACATTGAATGTCAAAACAGAGAGAACATTAAAGCAAAACCTCAATGCTTGTGATTCCCTGCCTGTGCCCAACCTTTTTCTAGGGTTTGTTATTAGTATTTTCTTGTATTTACTGAAACAAATGTCAAAAAAGTGTATTACTAAGTTACAAATCTCACATTTGTAAAGTACTTTTTAGAAAGTTAAACAATTTATTTCATCATTTTAGTTCTATATGATATGTACATGTACCTGCAATAGTGTTTACAAAGCACAGAATGACATTTTACTATTAGCAGCGGAGCTATTTATAGCAGCACCACATTCCACAAGTTTCCACTGCTACTAGTATTAGATTTTTGCGAGATATTCAATAACATACTCTATTTATTAAATAGATTATAGTAAAGGATGACTAATTAGTACATGGGTAGTTTTAATAATTCAGTTCACAGGGAGAGACATTCTTAATCGAACCCAAAAAGTTCGACGAAGAGTGTGATCGATTTAGCAGCGGCGTATTATACGTCCTGCGCAATCTATCCTCCTTCCTTTTGCTGAACGTGTCAGCCATGGCCCCGATTGTGAGTACCTCACTAGTCGAATAAACTGCCAACCTACTAAATATGTCAGGATATTTCTGACATACATTTAAGTTATTTATTTGTATTAATTATATATTTACGTAGCAGCGACAGAGTGAATGTCCGATTGTGTTTAATTTACTGTTTTGGTCACCACGTTGGGCTAACACTAGATGCTAACGTTAGCTAGCAGCAAACCTGAGGAAACTGTCGTGAAATATAAAAACGGTTTAAATGTTTCAATGTTCCGCAGTGTTGGCAGCACTGTCTCATTGATAGTTATTGTTTTTATCTACAGTTAAAGTTTGTTTGTAACCATGTGTTCTAGAAAAAGCAGTTGGTCAGGAAACCGGGTGGGAAGAGGAAGAAGCAAATCCTAAAATTCACCCTGGACTGCACACATCCTGTGGAGGATGGCATCATGGATGCTGCCAATTTTGTAAGTAAATCAGGTCACACACATGCTCTGTGATCCAAAAGCGTGAACCAGTCTCCATTTCACCTAAAGGGCATAGCCCACTGAAAGTGACACTTTGGAGCAACAGCTTTTGGACAAAGTGTTGGTCGAACACGGTTCATTTTGTATCAATTTACGCTCTATAATAATGTGCAGTTAGTTTTGTATAAGAAAATATTGTTGATGAGAAATACAGAGATGAATGAGTGATGTATTTGTATTATTGTATTTATTTTGTGATGTCATGATCCAAGCAGATTTGTATCAAATATAGTTGTCAGTTTCTTGTAGTTATTTTCTTAATCTGCAGAGGTTCTGGTTACGGTATTTTTATTAAGATGCATTTTTTCGTGACCTGCTGTTTTCTTTGCACTGACAGGAGAAGTTCCTGCAGGAAAGAATTAAGGTGAACGGAAAAGCTGGAAACCTCGGTGGTGGTGTGGTGTCCATTGAGAGGAGCAAGAGCAAGATTGCTGTGAACTCTGAAGTTCCCTTCTCAAAGAGGTATAGCATTTTAATTTGGCAGTGCTTTACAAGTCATGTATGTACTGTGATGTCTACATAAACATATACATTCAGAAAGGAGACCCTCGTTTGTTTGTGAAAATAAACATATACATTCAGAAAGGAGACCGTCGTTTGTTTGTGAAAAGTATTAGTTTTCAACAAAGTGTCAGTTTTTCATCACTGCAGGCTTTTAATCAAACACTTCAACAATTCCCAGCGTTCAACCTCTACACTTCAGGTGTATTTTTTCCGTCTGTTTTAAGATTACCGTACAACCTCAGGGTCGCCCAGTCTCTGGTCATTTTAGGAAAAAACTCTGAGAGACTGATTAGCAGGTATTATAAATTCGTTTTTAAATTTGAATTGTGGAACAATCAAAACTCTAATAACCTAGCAATGTGCAAGTGTTAGTGGTGTACTATACAAAAGAATATCAGCTGAATATTCAGCTTAACTCTGCCTGTACTGAGAAATACTTCAAAATACCAGTCTCCCAGCTGATGTATATGAATTGCAGTGAGTGTGTTGCGGTACAGAATAGACTCAAGACTCAACACATTTATCAATACATTTATATTATTCAAGACATTTGGATGTTTTGGTCTGAATTTTGTAGAAACCTGTTGTCGATCAGCTGCCAAACAAGTCTGACTTTACAAACTTTCAGGGTTTTAAAATCTGCTCAAACTGAAGTTCTAATTGAACAGCTGTGTTTTAATGGCAACACAATACACCTTGAATACTTGGCCCTACTGACCACAGGTATTACAATATTATAATACCTACAGTTGACTAGAATTGTAGGTTGGCAAAATGAAAGAACTTAAATTAACTGTGATATTTTATTCAAAGTTGGCTCTAACATATTGTACTTATCATATTCTTTACAATTATGTAAAACCCAGCATCAGTGTGGACGGCAAAGAGTTAATTTCATTGCACAAAGAAATTAATTTTTCTGTTGTATGTGACATTGAAATCTTGGGAGACGTTGCTGTTGTGAGTTGTACATCCTAAACAAGTCTGATATTCTGAGCTTTACTGTGTTAACACACATTATTATTTAATTTTATGGCTCCATAGATTAATCAGATATTAATAAAATATTAACTAGATATTTTTGGAGCTTTTCAAGATAATTATGTTTCAGATTTACAGATTTACATTTCCACATTTAACAGATTCATGTTGTTAAACGTTACTTTATTCACCTTTTTTAACCACACCGTTCTCTGTTTCAGGTACTTGAAGTACCTCACTAAGAAGTACCTGAAAAAGAACAACCTCAGAGACTGGTTGAGGGTCGTGGCTAACACCAAGGAGAGCTACGAGCTGCGCTACTTCCAGATCAACCAGGATGAAGAGGAAGAGGAGGAAGATTAAATCTGACACCACTTTTAATAAAATACTCAAGACACAAATGGTCTTTCTTTTGTCTTTTTTCTGTTTGTGTTTAGTCAAATATTTAGGCGGTGATGTGTAATATTCTTCAGGGAAACAAGTACTGCAGCAACAAATCCTCTTCATCTGTCTTCCTGTTTCACAGCATTTCTGTTTATTTTTCTCTTTCCAGTCTTGGTAGATTTCTTTTTTTATCACTCCCAATTTTTCTTCCCTTTTCACTTTACTGCATTAGGGTCTTTTTTGTGGATTTTTGTTTGTCTTTTATTTCCTTCATTTATAGATTTGTCTCCACCTTCTGTCTAACTGCACCTCCTCCCTGTTTATATGTATTGCTCAATTTTTTTGGTCTAATTTTTCAGTCTCAGTGTATCTTGTTCTTTTCAGGGATTATATTCTGTCATTTCTCGTTTTGTTCTTTCTTTCTGCCTCTATCTTTTCATCTTTGTTTCCGACTCTCTTTGTTTCCGTCCATCTCTTTTGTATCTCCCTCTCTGTCTCTCTCTTGCTTCTCTGCCTCCCTCTCTTTTACTGTCTCTCTGGTCCAGGCAGTGTTACAGACAGCTGTGCTGGTTACCATGACAACAGTCTGTGCTCTTCTCAGTATGAAGTCATTAGCGCGCGCGTGGTTGTCTGGAAAAGGCGGAAGTTGATAAACATTGATAAGAGGAACATTTTAATTGTGCTTGATTTCACTCGGAGCTTTTGTCACCTTTAATTAAAACAACGTGGCTTGTAAAAAGAAAAGAAAAAAAGCACACAAAAAAGTAATTTAAAATCAACAAGCATCCCGTCTGTCCCACCTGGAAGCAGAGGGACACGGCCAGAAGTTTGTCTTTATTTGTGGAGCAGGGAGAACGAACCGGTGACAGCCGCAGCAGCAGCGGGGGAGAATCCTCTTATTAGTGGCTGACTGTCCTGCTGCACACCCAGGGAATTATTATCATTTTTTTTACCTTTTATTCCCACAGTACTAGTTAAAGTGGTAACTAGTGGAGCATGCCTAACTAGTTGTGGGTGAAATTATGGGATGTATCGTCATGGCAACAGACCAGACGTCACAATCTGGGCATGTGTGTTCCATTTTTGTCTTTCTTATTTTTCAGACTGGTGGACCTGGATAGAGATCAGTGGAAATATTTATGTTTATGCCGGATAAATATTTATAACTTTTAGAGAGAAAAGCTTTTTAATTTTTTTAAGGTAGTTTATATTTCAAACTGTGCGACGGTTAGATTTTTTGGTGAAGAAAGCGGCAGAGCTGCGGCGTGTGGAGGGTTAACTTTCTGTATCCTCCACTGAAAAAGGGGGTTTGGGGGCGATGAGCTAAAGATGCCGGGGTCGCTGAGTAATGAAGACGAGGGACAGGACGACATGGATTTTGGAGACGACATGCCAGGTGAGGAGGAAGAAATGGGGGAGGCGGGGTGTCCTTCACATTATTTCTGCGCCGCTACGCCTTGAAATGCGGGGGAAAGGGCTTGTCCTGAGAGCAGGAGCAGCAGGAGCAGGGGGTGGAGGAGGAGGAAGGGAGGTGGGGTGCATTAGGCGAAGTCATGCAATTATTTTGTGGACGATCCAGTTGTCTTTAAGGTGGGAGCAGTTTGATTTCGAGGCTGTCCTCGCATGTGTGACTTCGGCTGCGAGAGACGTCCACCGCTGCACGGTTTGTCTTCTGGGCCGATTTTCCTCCTTTCTCTTTCCCCGGCCATTCGCTGTGCAAGTGTCTGGCTGTGTCTCCTGTCCTAAAACGCAATTTTATGGGTGAAGATTGATGCTTAACACCGCGGTGTTCATTTTTTGTGGAGAGTCGGCGTTGCTGTAAAATGATGGCGATGTTGCCTCGTCCTCTGTAACAACGCCTGCTCGTGCTGTTCGAGGCAACGGTGGTGCCAACATCATCTTGTAGAAATGATGTCTTCAGGTGGAATCCTAGTGACGCTGCTCCAACTTTATTTCCTCCTCAGCACTGCATGGCCGCAGAGGTGTGAAAACCACGTGTTGGCCACAGTAAACACAGCTTATCCATTTACTCAACCACGTCCTCTCCCCTGCCTCTGGTTATTGACGGTTGTAATGCTCGGGTCACCACATCCATTGACTGCTAATTCCCCTACTTGAGAGGCAGTTGAATTAGTTCACGTGCTGGCCTCACACAAAACCTAATTTGGGTATGATCTCCAGGGGCTGAAAATGACACCGTCATCCAGTCTGCCTAAAACTTTATTAATGAGCTGCCTGTTGGAGATTGTACTTGCCATGTAGATACATGTTTTTTATCACTTTGTAATTACCCCCCACTGCCCCCCCCTTTTTTATCACTTTGTAATTACCCCCCCACTGCCCCCCCCCAAAAAAACTAAGAAATTGAATCATTGAGTAAATAACTGCATGTTTAGACAATAATGTATTGATATTCTATAAAAAATACCCTAATCAGCATGCTGTAGTACAGTGTAGCAGTGGTCAGTGCTTTGCCTTACAGCCAGTCAATGTGTGAACCTGCGGAGGATGGATGGATAAATGTCTTTAAATCAGAGATGTCATGATGCAAAGACGCAGAGTGGAGTGGAAAATTACAAATGAACCAAAAGAGAAGACATGGTGTTATATAATGAGAATAAAAAAACAGTGTTTTCTGCACCTGGGGAGTTCCCTCAGCAGTCTAGGCCTGTAGGAATAGGAAAAGTAACAATTGAGGTTTACCTGAGCCAACCTTAACTAAACAAGTTAGTTTAAGTTCTGGCTAACTGGGCACTAAACTGTTGACCTTAGAGTGTTATGACTAAGGTTGGCCTTGTGTCGGACTGTATGACCCTGTGCTGTACTCATGAACAGACAGCATATGTGTAATTGCTCTGTTGTGTCTCTGTGCTGGGCCAGTGCAGTACATGGTGTTGTTTTTTTATTCTCTTCTATGTGGTTAACTCTCAGCATTCAAATTTTGATTTCACTTTAACAGCAACATGTGAGAACCACGTTGGTGTAAGGTCATGAAGATCCGAGGCAAGGCAGAACTTATATCTTTAATCACACACTAAATCACCACATATATATATTTTAAACTAAGTATAAAATACTTTTGACTTTAGGACAAATAACAAGGGATAAATCGAAGTCTTCATAGATGAAATAATATGACATTAGGATTACGCAGTATTAGTAGTAGCAGTAGCAGTAAAAAGTAATTGTCTTCAAGTATCTCTGATGCTTATTCCTTTTGGATTAATCCCAGCAGTCAACAGGCGAGGGTGGGGTAACACTGGGGCAGTTCTCTAGTTCATCTAAGGGCAACATAAAGAGAACATTCACTCTTAAATCCACACCTGCGTTCAAGGAAACACACAAACATATGTCAAGTAAAAGCTTAAACCAGTGATCATCTTGCTGTACAGCAACAATACCACCTGCCGTGTTGCCTTAGAGATTAGGTTTCCTGCTTATATTTCAGTCTTGTACATTAAAATAACTCCCAGACCTTGCATTCAAACCTTTGTTGTGTATTTCCGATTGATAATTCAAATGTGGAAAAAAAGTACAGCAGGGAATAAACAAGGAAGGAAATGGGAGACACAAAGAGAAGTGTTAGAACGTTTGAGGCATGTGTGACTGCCAGCTGTAGCCTGAGGGAGAACACAAGCACTGATGTGTGTCGCCATAAAACCACAGGCTCAGTAAAACAAGTGAGAGGAAGCAAAGGTGCTGCCGATGACGGCAGGTGCCACTTCTTCTTCCACGTTGAGAGACACATACACTTCTTTTCTTGTGTCAGTCTGGTGTCTCATGTCGGCAGCTAATGTTCTTCCTGTTTGAAAATCAGCGCCTCATATTAACACTGCGAAAACATGGAAAAGCATTGTTATGCTGCCGGTGTAGGAGGCGCTTTAGGAACAGTTTACGACCCCCATCAACAGACATCAAAGTGACAGACAAGGTCAGGAATCCAGATCACGTTTTTTTTCCCTCCGCATAAAAATTCTCCAGTGCAATTAAAACTGAGCAATGCAGAAGCACATCCTGAGGGAACTTTAGAAACCTAAATGTTATCCCATTATAGCCTTTATTTGGTGTGGAGCATGGAGTGTCCTAATTCCCTTTGTTCTGCTCCGGGTTCTCGACACTGACACAGATTGTTCCATTGTGTTTTTGCCTTTAATTGTTTTGTTCTTCTCTAAAATTAAAAGATTATCATGGGCTTTTTGTGAGCATGCATATGTTATCCCTAACTGGAACAAAGTCTATTTTTGGATTCTTTGCTGCAAAGGTTGACACCATTCTTTTCTGCTGTGCGTGCGTAGACTAAACCCTCAAAATGTATGTATTAGAACAGGCTTCGGCCTCTGAGCTGTTCTGCCTCTGAGCGTTCTTTCTCTGTGCTGAAGGCATTATGATGTTGTGCATTATGCGCGTTGGATGGTTTTAATGAAGCCATTACAGACTTATCCTTCCATCACTTTGATGACTCTGTTTACTTATAATAGTGCATGGATGTCCTCGTCTGAAGGCATCTGACGCCTGAGCCATAAGCACAAAATCAATGAAAAAAACCCTCTGGCTGTGTCTTGCCTTCTGTGTAGCCGACAACGCCAGTGTGACTACATATTTCCCCGCACGCACCAGAAGTGAAAGGGTTAATACTTATTTTCAGTAATCTCTAGTCTCCCCAATTGGCACTCTCTTGTGAATCCCTCTTCTAATTGGTAAGTCTGTGTGGCCAAGCCCTTCTAGGAATGTTGGATTTGCATCACTGCCGCGCAGCCACACTTTGTCAAGTTAGTCTCTGACTTCCACTGAGGAACGATGTATTATGTGAAAATAAAATGATCCCATCTTGTCCTTTCCTCTGGGAACTCCACATCCCATTTTCTCCAGCAGGACTGAAAGGGTCACACACAGTTGTTTTTAAACACTCAGTTGTACTGCTGTGGAATCCTCTAATGACTAAAATCCTTGAGGACAGCCTGCTCAGTTTTTAAAATTTTTTTTTATACCAGACTCCAAACTTACAGGTCAACCACAG